AGGAGGAGGAGGAGGAGGAGGAGGAGGAAGAGGTTTAAAATGGTAAATCATTGGCCATTAAAATGGCTTCGTGTCTGGACCCTTCACCTGCCCTTTTGTCATTAGCTTCCTCTGAGCTCACTCCAATTTGTCACTGTCCCTTTTGAACTCTGATACCCAGAACTGGACACAGGACTCCAACTAAGTTCTGACCAAGACCAATAGGTAATAAGGAGTGGCTGGAATACATATCCTCTATATAAATAAAATGCAAATGTACACACACACATACACACACAAAGCTGATTTAATTGAATTGAGGCAACTCAGGAGAGATCCTGTGCCTCTGGGGTGAAGCCTGAGTCCCATGAAAGTAATCAGAATTAAAAGAGGACCTTCACTGCAGCTTCCATATCTGAGCTGCAAATATCCAGCTAACTACTTCATCGACTGGAAAAATGACAAAATGGTGCACCAGTTAACTTGTAAAGCAACACAAGCAAGGCACCAACAATCAAGAAGCTGAGCAGAAAAGTAGATAGCTGAGGGACAGACTAATATTAATTAAAAGAAACATTGTGCTTAGTTTCAAACCAGGAACATTCTACAGGTAAAGCAAGTATTTATTTATCTATGTGCCACATTTATATAGCCGCCCATCTGATGTAGGGATTATGGGCAGTGTATACAATACAACAATCCAAATACATAAAAACCAATTAAAAAGGCAACTAAAATATATTAAAAAGGTAAAAAACAAAATGGTGAAAAAACAGACAGAGAGTACATTCCAGTTGACCATCATGCAACCATCTGGAAGACTCCACTCTATCGTGGCATCCCCAGGCTGGTTGACAAAACCATGTTTTGAGGGCCTTCCAGAAGACCAACTGGGTTAGAGCCAGCCTCACCTCAGGTGGAAGGATGTTCCACAGGGCAGGGTCCACGGGAGAAAAAGCTTTCCTCCTAGGCCCCGTCCTTTGGTCTCTTTATTTATTTGTTTAATTCAAATTTGTTGCAGCTGCCCAGCTCCAACGGACTCTGGACAATGTACCAAAAAAAAAATAATAATCCATAAAAACAGATAAAATCTAAAACCATACAGACAGCCCAGACTAAAACAGTCTAAAAATAATACAAAACAAACAAAACAAAACAGCCCCCCTTCCCCAAAATACAACAATACATCAACCCCAGGGCTGGACCAAAGCTGGGTTTTCAGAGCTTTCCAGAACCCTAAGAGGGAGGGGGCTGTCCTTATCTCTGGGAGGATCCGGTTCCAGTGGGTGGGGGCTGCAACAAAGAAGGCACACTTCCTTGGTCCCACCAGATGACAGCGTTTAAGAGAGGGAACCCGGAGTGCACCCAGTCTGCCAGAAGATACTGGGTGGGGAGAAATGACCGGAGACAAGCAGTATTATAACCATTATGCTAGCAAGAAAGAGCTCCTGGAACAGTATCTTGAAGCCAGTTGTTGTGTCTCCATATTGGTCCATTCTGATGTTTTCAATTTATACGTATAAATTTGGCTTTGTGTGTATGAATGTACATATCTCCTCCTCTTCCTCTTCCTCCTCCTCCTCCTCCTCCTCCTCCTCCTCCTCCTCCTCCT